TGATGTTAAATCAAATAAAATTGAATCATTTTCTAGTTGTGTATCATATTTAGATGCAATTTCTTTCTGAGCCTCTTCTAACCATTCATTTTGTTTTGAAGAATTAAAAAATCGAATTAATTCCTTAAATCGTTTAGTATATAGTTTAATTTTTCTAACCCTTTAATAACACAAAGCTGCAATGTATATGCATCGCATGGAATATGATTAACACCATCCCATTCATGGATAGCTTTAATCATATTACTACAATTTTCAGTAATTGCTACATTTACTTTACTATCTAATCTAAGCAGTTGAAGTTTAGTTAAAATAGTTTGGCAGATATTATTGCCATTATGAGGATAATTAATTAGTGTAATACAAATTAATATATCATATAATTCTATATTTTCTGTAAGTCAATGACATGTAATACTGATATAACCTGATTTTGCATGAGATGTCCAAAGATCTGTAGTAATAGCTGCTATATCACAGGTATGAGTAATCATTTCCTTTATAGCCTGAAATGCAGCTTGATATTCATAACCAATATCTTTTTTGATCGTTACATAACATGATAGCTTAAATGCAGGATTAAGCTTATTAATCATACATAAAAATCCTTCTCCATTTGCTGAATTAAAAGGTTGAAAATCTGTTACTAGTCAATCAGCTAAAGCATTCCTTAATTCATATTGCTTAGGTTCTTTATGTAGCATAACTTTTTTTTATTTGATCATCTACTTTTAATTGTTTCTAAAAAATAAAAATAATATATTAATTTAATATATATTTATCTGTAATAAAAATGCGTAATGATAATGTTGTCTTACCAATTTTTCTTTTTCAAACTCTTTATGAACAGAATTTAAATAATGTTTTTGAGTGCTAGTTTGAGTATTATACATGCAACTATAATTACACTCTTCTTCTATTCCATTTTTTAATATTTTATATCTGCAATAAGCACGTCCGTCAGTTTTGATTCCAAAATGCTTTCACACTCAACTTGTTTTATTATTTTCAAGTTCAACCCACTGAGGTTCTTGCTGATTAATATCTGAAGATAAATCAACAATATTATTTCTTTTAGTTAACTGGATCGAAATAATATTAGTTTGGCGTTATGTTTTCTATTCTGGTCTGGCATTTAAAAGAATATTAAAAAAAAAATTTGAATTTTTCACGTTAAAATTAAACGTGTTGCAATGATCATTTGATATTTAAAAATTTAAATATTATAAATAAAATTCTGATACTTTGAAATGCATTTTTATGACAAAAAAAGCAAATAATGCTACAACTATGACTATTTTATTTGAAAAGCTTCAATATTAAAAGACCAGTTGCTATGTCTTAAGAATAAAAAAATTTTTTTTTCTTTTACGAATGTCATTGAATTTTAAAAAAAAGGAATTTTTTTTCTTTTTTTTAATAATGATATTATTTAGTTTTATTTATTATTTATTTATACACTATATTATATCATAATAACATAATCAATCAAACATAATAATTGTTAATCAATCATTCATAAAAATTTAATCGATTAAAAATCAATTAAAGTTAGTCCAATTTTGATTGATGGCAATATTCTGCGATCGACAATTGATTGAAACAATCAATCATTGATCTTACTTGATTTGATTAAAAGCTCTAATATGGATATTAAAAATAAAAACTGAAAAATAATAGTATTAACAAATAAAATTTTATTAAAGAAGGAGAGATATCCCTAGAATTAAAAGAAATATATAAATTTAAAGGATTTTATTTTTTTGTTGCATTATTTATGATCGCCACTGTATATAAAGTTCAAATAATCAGAAAGATTGCTAAAGATCTATTATAATCAAAGAATAAATTAAGTGAAAAAGTGAATAATCATCAAAAGTTCACAATATCAAAAGTATATATTTACTATTATAGTCAGTAAAAATAAATCAAATCGGTCAGTTATCCAGTTTTGACTGAACATATGGATAATAGATTTTATTCGATTTTGGTATTAATTATTTGTTTTTACTATCCAACTCACAAATGCACTCACACCTTTTAGTAAGTCACTTTGAGTTCTTCTTTCACCAATTCCAAGTTATTACACTAACTCCAAAAAACACAAAAAAGAATCCAACTCCAAACTTATAGTATAACTGAATCAAACCCGAATACTAACCTGAAACTTATCCAACATAACCCAACCCAATTATAACTCAACCAAACCCAACCATATAAGCCCAACTAAACTCAAACTAAGATATAAAAGTTAAACAAGCAAATTTTTATAAATCACGTGATAATCACTGTTAGATATTTATTCTATTACACAATTATTGATCAAAAAATAAAATTTTTTCTCCCGATGTTTATCAGGCAAGAAAATTTGCTTTAATAAAAAACCAATTAATGGGAATGACTATATAATAGAGAGTAGTAAAACAGAAACTGCAAAATTTTTGAGAATAAACAGAAGTTAAATGTCTTATTCATTAAATCAAGAAAAGGTTAATGATACAACATTCTTAATAATGTTCATGAGATTATATAACCATTTTGGATATAACAATGTCAAATTATTGTTAGTAGTAAAGTGAACATCACTGTTACCCAAAATATGTGTACTGTTAAAGTATGTTCTACCAACCTGTTTGACATGGAAGTAACCAAGGAAACGTAGATGTAGAATAATTGTAGAAATTGAAAAAACAGAGAATCTTGATAGTTTATATAATCTGGCAAAAGAATCCTTTTCTGTGCAAATGAAAATTCAAGTTTATTTGTTAATAAAATGTGGCCTTGATGATAGAATAACATTTTTGAAATGCTTGCATTACTTTATGTTTGTAATTATTTAATCACACAATTCCCAATTTTATTTAGAACGACACCTCTATTGACCTTTATTAGAAATACCATTATTTCAAATCATTGAATTACTGGCTTATTACGATCTGGTAATATTGTTTGCATAGTAGTGGCCTGGCAAATTACCAGTTAATAATTCCTGATAAGCTTACTTTATAGTTAATTCTTGGAGGTATTCCTGATAATTTTATCTTAGATTTATGGGAATTATAAAATCGAGCTTTGTATTACCTGACATATTATATTAGCTTACTGTTACATTACAATTGCAACCTTTTTTTTACATTTTAGGATAAATAACTCTGACATCAATATGTATGTTTTAAAATAAGTATTTATTTTTTCTAAATTGCTTTTTAATAAATCACACGTAAAAATAATATTGTGAATGAAAATTCATTAATTTTTCAGTTAAAGGTAAAAAATGAGAGTTGCAAATGAAATTTATGACATGTAATAAACTTTTATAAAGATTTTTTAAGTACTAAAAAAAACTTTTCTGAATAAAATAAAGAAAACTATCTAAGAAAAATTTAATGTATATTATGATATCTCTAAATATTTTAAAACTTTACATTTTGTTATAATTGCATTATATAAGTGAATGAAATTTCTTTATTAGCATTTTTTAATATTTCAGCAGTTCTTTTCTCAATAATTAATTATAATTCAGAAATATATTTACCATAAATATATATAATAATACCCTATATAATATTTTGCTTATACATTGAAATTATTATAAACTTATATATATTTTTAAAAATTTTAAAAATTGTGTAACTAAAAAATTAAAATAATTACTTTTAATTTTTTTTTCCTATTAATATGCAGTGGCTAGAGGTAAGCAGAGGATATATTCTCAGTAGAATAAGTTTGATAACATGTTAGATTACCTCTTTAAGTCTTTAATCCCTTAAAATGTATGACAATCCATTTTGAAGCATATCCCTATATAGTTATAACCTAATATAGACCACCCTATTATAGCTTATATCCTATCATAAGGCTCACTAGACCTTATTGGATACTATCACCTTTGAAAAAAGAGTTCACTTTAACTATAGAGCTTATCACATCTTATTTTTACCAATCTAATTTATAGGGTTTTATCCTATTGATAACTACTGAGACTATAGGATCAGATTCTTTATATAGATAGTAGTATTGTATCCATAATATTAAATTCACCTAGAAATCAAATCCAGTCTTTATCTCTAGTGACAGTTTGATTAGATGATGCTGCAGCAATATAATACAGTCTATTATTACCATAGTCACTCAAAGGTAGTACTTAATCTACTAATTACTGGTTAATCACTTTCTTACTTGTATACAGGCCTTTAAGTTTGAAGATATAAGACAGTATCCATTATAGACCTGTTAGCAAAAACTAAGTTTCTATCGATCTCTGGCTTCATTTACATTCACATGTTCTTTAAACCCAATATTTAGATATAATTAACATCAATCAACAGATTAATTAACCAGTATCTAATATATATTAATCTATATACTTACATATTCAGTTATATATAAAATTCTTATGAAAATCATCTAATTTTATGCTTTGACTGAGGTCTAAACCTGTGACTATTATAGTATAACTTATAATAAGAACTTGTATCTTACAGATTAAACCAAGATCACTAATCCTGTAAGATAATTACTTTTAATTATTTTTGATATAAATCAAATGATTATTATTATACTACATAAAAATTATATAAAAGATATTTTTTAATTATTGTTTGATCCTGTAATATATCACAACTACTTAATATACAAGTAATAACAAAAAGCATAACATAACTCCTAATAAAAGAGCACAAATTCTTCTCTTATTACAAAATGAATATATAATAGAAGAAGTAGCAAAAACTCAAAATTTGAATATTCTACAATTTCTCATATTAGAAAAAAAAGCTTAAAATCTACTTTCTTGAAAACTTAGTAAGAACAAATTATTTATTAATTATTAATAAACTAAAATAAAAAAGGATTGTTAATCTTATTACTTCTCAGAGGTATTTATCAACTATTAAAATATAAAACTAACTATAAAAAAAAGAAAATCTTGACTTTTTAATATTTACTATTTGTTACATACTATAAAATAATAGGTTAGTAGTAAGAATTAAAAAAAATATTATACCTTAGTAAAAAAAACAAAAAAATTCTTAATATAACTTTGCAAAAAAAAAATAAAAATTAGACTATTAAGGAATAATATAGTCTGATGAATCAAAATTCAAAATTTTAATTCTGATAAAAAGCAGTATTACTAAAAGCATTTTGAAAAACTAATAAAAGATCACTTTATTAAACCTATAGTAAAATTTGAAAGCAGGTCAGTTATAATATAGAATGTTTTACATCTTGTAATATTAATAAGATTAATAACATCATAAATTCTTTATGAAGAATTAATAAGCATTATCAAAACACATGATTTTACTGTTAAAGATATTATTTTTTAACATAATGAAAATCAAAACATATAACAAATTTAACAAAATAGTTGTTTAAGAGAAACAAAATAACAGTCTAAATTAATCATCTTATTTCTTAGATTTGAATCTTATTGAATATTTATAAAATGAAATTGACTATCAGCTTAAATATCTTTCTTAAGTAAAGAGAATTTATAAAATAAGATATAGCAGATCTTAAAAGAATTTGATGTTAAAATTTATTCTAATCTAATTTGCTTTATACTAAAAAGAATTTATAATATTATATCAAATTTAAAATATATTTAAAAAGAATATTGTTATGATATATTAATTTATAATGTATTAATTGTTATTTAAGTTGTATTAAAAATGCAAATAAAAAATATAACAGTATTATTTAAATAATTATTTACTTTATAAAATAATTTTCTTATTAATTTATATTTAAATTTTAGTATTAGAAAATTATAATATTAATAATTAAAATTACAAAAAAAAATTTATTTAATTTTGTAATTAATGAAATTTATTTTATTTGTTATATAATTTATAATTATCACTGTAATTATTTTATAAACTATAATTAT